GGTCCACAATTCAGGCCACCCACCATCCTCCCTGCTCCTTGGAGCTTGACTTTCCGGCATCCTGCTTCTCCTCCAGGCCCCTTTGGGTGGTTTTCTCAGGACCTGTGAGCTGATTTCTAGGTGTGAATGGCCCTGAATTACAGGTATGTGGCACCAGAAAACGGCAAAGCCATTCCTAGCAAAGAACAAAAAGCAGTTCCTCCCCCTTTGAGCGAATCATCTCATTCCCAGGAACCCAGTCCAACAAAACAATTCCAATGGAAGCCAAGTATTATCTGCATAATACGTGCACTGAAGTCTTTATTCAAAGGTCAGAAGCTGGGAACCAAAATAGGGAAGTGGTTTAGTCAACTGGGACATTCGCACAATGGGCAATCAGGCTGGGACCCACAGCTGTGTGGCTGCGGGGGAGTGTGGAAAATGTTTTCCCCACACAGCGTAGCACTGGCACTCCCCCACCTAGCCAGTTAATTCAACTACAAGACAGACAGACAGACAAAGGGACAGAAATGGAGAGAGATCGACTCGTGTCCAAAACAGACTCCTCACCACCAGCACCCCAAAGAAATGGAAGGGAAACCGGAATTGGACAATGATAACAGCCCACAGCATTCTTGACTTTCGATACTGAATGCTCAGAGTCCTGGCCATGTACAGGACTTTGCTGAGAGCAGTTTTGATTGTCAGTTCTCCATGATTTTCACCTTCTACGCTGTGCTTATTGCGGGGCATGGTGGCGCAAGCCTGTAATCTCAGCACTCAGGAGGCTGAGGCAGGAGGATCACTGCAAGTTCAAGGCCAGCCTGGGATACAAAGTGAGCTCAAGGACAGCCTGAACTGCATAGTGAGACCCTGTCTTAAAAAGAAAAGAAAAAAAAAATACACTGTGCTTGTTAGTAAACAACATAATTCTTCCTATACACTCCATGAAGATAACCGGTAGGGCTTCTGCTCTCAGGCCAGAGCCTGAGACATCCACACACACAGACCTCTAATGTCTGCTCTTCCTCCCAGGAAGGGTGCCAGCTAGGATCAAAAAACACAGTGCATGTTTACATTTTTTGTTTGGTTTGGTTTTGGTTTTGGTTTTGGTTTTTTCCCGGTACCGGGAATCGAACTCACGACCTCGCGCTTGCCAGGCAGGCACTGTGAGGCTGAGCTAAATCCCAGCCCCATGCATGTTTACATTTTAAAATTTTATTACAGTAAAAGACACACTACCACTAGTCCCACTGAACCGCCCCCCGCAAGCTTCAAACACACTGGTCCCATCGCCCCCGCCAATTTCTGGAGCAGTTCTGGAAGCCCTGTTTTGTGCGTGTCTTTAGTTGCTGCCTTGATGTCCTCAGTCAGTGAAAAGTATTTACTTCTTCCGGTCATTTTGACTTTGGGGAAGAGCCAGAAGTCGCACAGTGCCAGATCCGGGGAATAAGATGGGTGGGGACGCAGCGTCACGTTGCTTCGAGCTGCCTTTTGGTTGGATGGCGCTCCGCAGCAGCATTCACCTTATTTCTGATCACACCTCCTAAAGACATTGTTATCACAAAATTTTTTTTTACTCCAACATTCGTATATATTTTGATACCTCATAAGTAGTAAGAAAAGACTCAGGAATTATTACACCCACCATGACCCCCGCTTAGGGAAATGGCGTGGGGGTTCGGTATAGATGTGTCCCCACAAGCTGCAACCCCCGTGCCAGCTGGCCAAAACTGTCCGAGACCGGGCGGGGTGGGTCTGCTTCCCAGCCGTGTGTGGCCATTGGCAGGACTCGACTCCTTGCGGGCTGCCGGGCTGCAGGCCTCAACTTCCTCTCAGTCGTTTCCCTCAGGTGCTTGACACCTGGGCCTCCCAGGCGGGTGGCGGGCGGCCCCACGTTGAAGCTGGCTGCGGCAGAGCTAAGGAGGGAGACGGTCAGTCGGGGGAGGCAGGGAGGTGTCTCACGGCCCGGCCTCACAGGGGACATCCCTCCCTTGTCGTGTTTTACCTTTTAGAGGCCGCCGCTACTTCTGGCCCACGGGGGTGCAGAGATCACGTGAGGACGCGTGGTGTGCCTACCACAGACTCGAACATTTATAGCATCGTCTCCATGACAAAAACTGTATTTGCGAAGTTATTTGTCCACGTGGACGTTTGCTCAGCCCGTCAATCAATGCCCATATCCTTTTCTCTCGGCCTCAGCCCCCGCCCACCCCGTGCCCAGTTCAGGCGAATGAGCAGACCTAGGCCAGGTTCTGGGGCTTGGAAGACGGGGGCGGGGGGTGCCAGGATGCCAAGGCTTGGAGGAAGAGGGAAGCCTGCCTTGTTCCTTCTTTTTTTTTTCCTGAGACAAGACCTCATTTTGTGTAGTTCAGGCTGAACGTGAACTGACTATGTAGACCAGGATGATCTCAAACTTGTGGAGATCCTCCTGCCTCAGCTTCGCAAGTGCTAGGGTTACTGGCGTGGCCACTGCATCTGGCCAGAGTAGCATTTTTAACAAGCCCTGGTGAGCGTTAAAACCGGGCAAATGCGAAGTCACCACTGTCCACTGTGACAGCCTCTCCCAGGGCTTTTCTTTTGTTCATCCATGTGGCTCTCCTGGGACTGACTGGTCCCCACTGTCCGGCCACCTCTGACACATCCAAGCCCCACGGGGTGCGAGGAGAGAAAGAGGCAGGCGGGACCTGCCCGTGTGGAGGTCTCGGAGCCCATGAACCGGGTCCTCCTGGCCAGGGAGGGAGAGGCGGGGCTGCAGGACACCCAGGTCCCGCGGGGACCCAGCGCCAGGAAGGCTCCAGGGCTACTGCCGTCACGAAGCAGAACCAGGCTCCCCGGGCTCCTTCCCGCACGGGTACCGTGCGGGTTACCGAGTTGGAGGGTTAGAGATGCCATACTTAGCAAACAAAAAACCAGAAGCCTCATTAGATTTGCATTTCAAGTAAGCAACAAAGACTTCTTTAATCTGGGTCCGTCCCACATCTGACCCGGGTGCCTGTATTTTAGCTGGCAACCCAGGCAAGGTCACGAGGTGAGGCTGACGGCCCCAGTCGGGGTCCCTGGGGAAAAGAGCAACACACACACACACACACACACACACACACGCACACGCACACGCACACACACACGCACACGCCCCTGCTCCAAAAAGGCCACGCAGCAGGAAACAGCACTGGGCGGCTTAAACCGCGGATTTATTGTCTCGTAATTCTGGAGACCCTTAGTCCCGAAGCAAGGCGGGGGCAGGGCCATGCTGCCTCTGAGGCTCGACCAGGACCCCGGGTCGTTTCCGGCTTTGGGAGCGGCTGTGCACCCTTGGGTTCTGGGGCTGGTCCCTGTGGCGGTCCCACCTGCCCTCTGCCATCATGCGGCACTGCGCTGTGTCTCTGTCCCTTTTCTTCTTACCAGGACACCAGTCCTGCCGGAGGAGGAGGCCCTAACCCGGATGCAGTCTGACTTCACCCTCACCTACCTCCACCGAGACCCCAAATAAGGTCACATTCACAGGACTGCGGGCTGCCGTGTGCCTCTCTTGGGAACACAATTTAACCCGTAGCAAGGGAAATGGAGAAGTTAGAACCAAAAAAGAATGTTCACAATAGATGTTCAGGGGGGAAAAAAAAAATGTATGTAACCTGATCCTTCTTTTGTCCTTAAAAGAAAAAAACTATAAAATGAGCCTTTATGTGTGATCGTTGACTCAGTCAGCAAACATTTACCAGACACCCACCAGGATGTAACAGAGCCTGCTGATGCCGTCCCAGAGCCCGCAGTCAAGCGTACCTTGGCCCAAGGAAAGACCTGCATCTCCCCGTTATGGTGATTTTCAAGGAAGCCTGCAGGGGGAAAGGGGAAAGTTTCTTTCATTTTTTTTTCTGCATTGCTTAGATTTTTATAGCAAGCATGTTATTCATTTGCTAGTTACTTTTTTTAAAAATGCTTAACCTTTTTTTTCAAATCCAAAAAATCCAGCCCTTGGGCTCTCTGCTCTGTTTTCCAGAGTGTGGTGGGGGACACAGCTGCAAGTAGGGCGTCTGAGCAGGTGGCCATGGGACAGCCAGAGAGGTGTTGCCTGAGGTGGCAGGGTGAGGACCAGCAGGAATGTGGGTCCACCCCGATGGCTCACGTATTAAAACTTTTAGTGATTCAAAGAATGAGATCCCTGTAATTACTCATGTGTGGCGGCGTGTGTGGCGGCTGTCCCTCCCACTGGACTCCAGATTCCAAGATGATGGTGCTGTGTTTCTTTTGGATAACACTATGTAACCAGCCTCCGGCCCAGCACCCAACAGTACAGTCACTCAGAAGTAAGCATTCGACCCAGGAAAAGAGATCCCAGCTCGGGAGAGCCCCGTCACTCAGGTGGTCTGAACCAGCTCCTCGATGCAGAGCTAAGAAGATGAAAGTTCGGGAAAGTAAAGCCACACAGCAGTGGCAGCCAGGACAAGACAAGACCCATCACCCTCCATCCAGGGGGAAGCCAAAGCCAGGTGTGCTAGCACATGCCTGTAATCTCAGCACTCAGGGAGGCTGAGGCAGGAGGGTCTCAAGTCGGAGCCCAGAATGGGCAACTTTGAGACTGTGTCTCAAAAATAAAAAACAAAAAGTCTGGCATGTAGCTCAGTGCAAAGGCCCTGAGTTCAGTCCCCCGTACCACAAAAATTTTTTTAAAAAGTAATATTTATTTTAAAGTAAAATCAAAAGACATGGATCTGGGTGCAGCTCAGTGGCAGAGTGCTTGCATGACATGTGTGAGGCCCTGGGTTTGATGCCCGTGCGCACACACACAACACACACAAAGATCACACGCACAACACACTCAACGACATGAACAATTAAGTATAGAGATGTATTGTCTAACAATGATCAAACAGTTTATAAAGAAGTTCTTCCTTCTAACCTTGGCTTTTCCCACTAGGGCTAAATAGTCAACAGATGTTGGGTTTTGTGGGTGCTGGTTAATCACATGCCTCACTTCTCCGAGTTCTGATCCAGTTGAGAAACAGTCACAAGAGATGAGCAGAGATTAAAATGTCAGCTTTATTGCTGGTCCAGATGGGCCGAGACCCAAGGCCCAAATGGGTTTCCTATCCTCCTCCCCTGACTTGAACTCACCCACCCACTCTCGGCAGAGCAGCTGGGCTATTGAAGTCCTCGCAGTAGGGGCCGGGCCAGCCCCAGTGCTGTTAGCAGGAGGGGGTAGGAGCAGACGCAGAACAGGCTGGGGAGCCGGGTCAGTCCCAGAGAGAGCGCCACGAACAGGCTAGTGGTGTGTGCCTGGTGCCCTTTGCCCTCTGTGCCAACCCAAGAGGCCCCTCTCCTCTCTCGGTGCAGAGCCAGTGTCGGGGGTACCAAGGTTCTTCCTGATACATCCATGAGGGTGTCGGTGTCTGTTTCACAGGCGGGTGGGAAAATGCGGAGGGGGAATTTGTCCCCTTCGTAAGGGCCCTCAGGGGCTCGGGATTTAGCTCAGCGGCACAGCCCCTGCCTGGCAAGCGCAAGGTCATGAGTTCGATTCCCGGTACCGGAGAAAAACCAAAAACCCAAAACAAAAAAACATAAGAGCCCTCAATTCTCCAGGGCCTTCTCATAGTATCTTAAGCCCGCCGTATTCCACAAAGCAGCTCTGAAGTTCAAGGCTGTGTCCGCTGAGAGTGAACTTGCTTGCAAAGGGCAAAAATTGAACAATCAGCAACACAAACTACAAATGGATCTGTTTCCTGCCTGTAACAGGAAATCCAGAAGCAGGCAGGTCTGGGTTGGTGTAACTTAGTACATAGTGATGCCTCCAGGGACCTGGGCTCTTCTGTCTTTGTGATTCATCTGCCTGAGAAGATGGCTTTCTCCGCACCCGAAAGAGTACTCTCCACCTCTGGGTCCTGTCCCCGTTCCTGGCAGAGGAAAGGGGGACAGTGAGATGGTGAAGTCTGTCTTTTTTATCAGGAAAACAATAGCTTTTCTGGAAAACCCATTCGGTCAGTGCACGATTGTGTCATTTGCCCCATCTCTCTGAAAGGGAAACTTAGGAAATGTATTTTGCAACTAGGAAAAAGTGGATTCTTTTAAATAAAGGAAAAAGAAGAATGAATATTGGCTAGAGAGTGGCCTACTAAAAGGTCACAAAATAATGATGAAAAACAGAAAATATTGTCAGCTACTTTTAAAAAAAAAAAAATCCAGATTTTTGCAAACATTTAAAACAGAGGTTATCCCCGGGCAATCAATTGCAGAACATAAAAAGAGAATAAGCTCAGCTTGTCTTACAGTAAGCTAGCATAACTTAATACCTAATAAAAAGAAAATACACACTAAATTAATTAATTAGAACTCTATACTAATTATTTTACAAGTTGGGAAAAAAAAATCCTATCTTTTTCCCTTTCTTGGTTTCTCCTTTGTCTTACTGTAGCACATGCTCAAGGAACTTTCTAAGAAGAAGTTTGGGAGAGTAAACTTTCCCAGCATGTGTGAGTTATGTCTTTTTTTTTTTTTTTTTTTTTTTTTTTTTTGGTTTTTCTCCGGTACCGGGAACCGAACTCACAACTTCCCGCTTGCCAGG